TGGCCTGCGACTGAGCCTTCTGTTCCAGCTCATGATTGGTCTGCCGGCCGGCGATGCTGACACTTGATTGGCTGAGAGGAAGAAGGGCTTCGATCTCGCTGGTAGTGGTTTGCAAATTTTGTTCTTTGCCTTTTCTTTCTGGCGGCGGCTGCTGCTCCTGGGGTCCCTCCTGAACTCTGCAGCCTTTTCATCTCTGCTCCGGTCGTCCCCATTATAACACTTACCCCGGGTGCTAACTGCGTTTCTTTGTTCTCTACCAAATAACACCTTGAGGCCGAGGGTGTAGCTCACCGGCACAAGTGACTGCCTAGCAAGCGCAAGGTCCTGAGTTCTATTCCCGATACCAAACAAACGAACAAACCAACCAAATAGCACCTTGAGGTTGAGACCACGGGTTTGTACGGCTAACTACCCTCAGAACCTGAGATGTAGTAGGTGCTCGAAAACTGTTTGTTGATTGAATGAGTGGTGAACTTGCGTATGGGTTTTTCCAGCTCTCTTTAATGCTGCAACGTTCTTGGGAAACCACGGTTGGAGGTGCAGTCCCCTGGGAGTGACCCGGGGAGCTGCCAACGCCTCTGGCCTTGGGTCCCTACACAGTCACCCCCAGAGGGCTGTCTGAGCCTGTAACTCGTGTATCAAAGGAATGCTGGTTAGAACAGAAAATGGGCTACACTAGCACTGCTTGGCAGTGAGCTGGTCCCTGCCTCCATGCTAAAATCCTGCTAGCCCTGGGGCTCCTTCCTCCCTGGGGAACCTCCCTCAAATCACAAAGGAAGTCAGAAGCGCGCTCCTGCACCCAGCCTCAGTTGCTGATCCCTGACAGTTTGGCCAGGTGCCCGGGGGAAGGGAGCCTCAGGGCGATCGAGGGGGAAACTGGCCGCTGTTCTTCCGTGGGGGCGTCCTTGGGAGTCCCCCGAGCAGACTCTTCGGATTGAGGGGTGGTGTGGCACGCGGGATGGGGAGAGGGCTTCCACTGACAAAGGAAGGTGTGGGAGCTCCTGCTGGGGTTGGGCTGGGGAAGGTTAATTGACCAGAAAAATACTGTCTGAGATCCTGTCTCCCATCCAGTGGGCAGCCAGAGGGAGGCAAGCGGCGAGGAGCTGGCTTTGTGGCTGGGGAAGACACCCCCGCCCCTCGTCTGTGACTCCTCATGGTCCTCTTACAAGGACCGCAGGTGTTCAATTTAGACTCCACCCTCATGCACTGTGATCTCACCTTAAATGGATTCGGTCTGCAAAGACCTCATTTCCAAATCGGGTTCCAATGGCAGGTACCACTGTTAGGACTATGGAAATGTATCTTTCCACCCACAACAAGGCCAAGTGAGGCAAGAACACTGGGATCCCGGGATAGTAAGAGCGGCAGCAGGGGGTGGGGGATGGGAGCCGCAAACCCCTTCCTGGCTTCCTGCTGCCCTCCTGGGCTCACCTCCAGGCCACCCTGGATCCTGGCACCTGGCAGCCGTCTGAACAGAGCCAAGAGGGAAGCCGGCCTCTGCATACCAGCCCTCCTCAGCCTGGCTTTCCTAGTGACCCTGCCCAGCATGGTGCCCTCAGGAGAGCCCTGCCTGCCTATCCCCCTCCCCGGGCCTGGCAGGTCCCCACCCCCACTTCATCCCAAGATGGACAAGGACAATAAAAGCTATTTCACAAGCAGCTGGTGATTAATCGCCAAGTTAATTAAAGAGGCAGTAATTGCACTCCAATTTCAGAGGTAGGATCGGTGTCTCGGCCAGGAGTGGGTGGTCAGCTTAGGTCTCCCTGACAAGATGGGGCTGGAGGACCAAAAGGATTTTAAAAGACGGCAAGAAAAAAACCAAATAGCATTTTTAAGAAGTGGATGCTTCCATCATAGCCGCAATGCTTTATTGGACAGAGTTAGGTGGTGGCTTAGATGTTTCAGCACGCCTCTCTCTTTGTCCGTGTCTTTGAAAGATTTCATTAGCATCAGTGACCAGAAAATGACAAGGGAGAGATTAAGTATTCCTAAACTCGAGTTTGGGATTTACGAATGGCCTCAAATATCAGTGTGCCTCACTTTCCACAATGGAGAGGCCCTTAAAATTATGTGTAAATCGAATCCCGTTTGCCCACCCGGTCCATCTTAAGGCTGCCGACGCTCTATCTTCATTTCTGATTGATTTTCCCTGGCAGAGGTGCCAAATTCTTTGCTTTAAGTGTCAGGCTCTCTCTGTCAAGTAGTTAATGACCTATAAAGCACTTAAAACGTACTGGAGGAGATGCTATTTGGAGGCGCCCTGCTGTGTATTCTCTCCTATTGTCAGTAATCACCCCTCATTTATTTGCTCTTATTGGTTTGGAATTTGCTATTGGTTTCCCCGAAAGCTGAGCCCAGTGAGGGAGGATGCAATTCCAGGGGGTCCTGATGGGTTTTAGGGGTGATATTTGGGGCCGGGTGGCAGCAGGTGTGACCTCTTCTCTTCAGAGCCCTTCAGTTTGGGTGCCCTGGTCAGCTCTGGGCCACACACTTCCTGGCTTGGCCTCTGGCCAGCTGAGTGACCTCAAGTATTCACTGCCCCTCTGCAAGCCTCAGTTTCCTTTTCGGTGACGCCCCAGGGCTGGTGCCTACCTGTGGACGACTGTTGGTGATGCCGGTCTGGCGGGGGCCTTGCTGGGAGCAAGAGAAGAGGCCCGAGGTCAGCATGAGGATGAAGGCTATGGCACGGGCCAGCTCCAAAGTCAGAGCTGGGAAGAAGCAACCCCAAAGAGCAGAGCTGGGTGCGCCAGCGCCCGGGGGCTGAGGAGCGCTTCCCGGGGAGGGCGGGAGAGGCTCCCCCGGATGGGAAGTCCCATCAGTGCGCCGTGGCTGCTGTAACCAATTACTACGGACGTGGTGACTTCAAACAACACCATTTATTATTCTCTTGCAGCTCTGGAGGCTGGAAATCCAAAACAGTTTCAATATGCAGAGATGGAGGTGTGCACAGAGCCCCATTCTGCGGCTGTGAAGAGACAAGTCTCACTCCTTTCCAGCTTCTGGAGCTACCCGGACTACGGCCCCTTCATCTTCAAACCCAGCAGCGTAGCATCTTCAAACCTCATTCTCGGCTTCTGTCGCCACGTGGCCTTCTGCCTGTAATCTCCCTCTGCGTGCTTCTTCTAAGAACATTTGTGACTCTAATAATCCAGGATAATCGCCCCATCTCAAGAGTCTTAGTCACATCTGCAAGTCTTTGCTGTATCAGGGAACAGTCCCAGGTTCCAAGGATTAGGAGGTGGACATCTTGCGGGGGGGCAGAAAGGCCACCGAGCAAAGTGGTTTAGAGCAGGTGTTCTAAAGCCACTGCTAGGGCTGGAATCCACCAACTACATGGCTGTGGGCAAATGGCTACTTTTCCCTGAGCCTCAGTTTTTTCATCTGTAAAATGGGATCAATACTTGTCTCCAAATACGAATTCAGTAGGTGTTTAATTAGCAGACAGGGAGCTTCCTGAGTCAGAGCCTACAGTTTGAGAGAGGCCCCAGGAGGACCCTTGTATAGGAAAGAAAGAGGAAAGAGGAGAGGGAACGGGGCAGGCAAGGCTGGAGACCAGGGAAGCACTGGGCCAGGTCCCAGGGACGTGGGTGTGCTCGTGTGTATTTCAACAGGATATTGTTTGGGGTCTGTGTCATTTTATTGAACCTGAATCCACATTTCATAAAATCCACCCTCTGAAAGTGTACAATTCAGTGATTTTCAGCATGGTCACGGCGTTGTACCACCATCACCACTCCCTAATTCCAGGACATTTTCTTTATCCCATGAAGAACCCCATCCTCTTCAGGAGTCCCCAAAAGCAGGGCAGTGTAGGAGGGAGCACCTGAAAGTCTGTTGGTCTTCACCCAGGAAGAAGCTGGGGCCCCCTGAAATTGGGGTTGGGGAATAACGCAGGCCAGGCCAGGAGTTTTCCTCCTCAGCTATGCCCGCCCACCCCGCACCACGGAGGGAAGTGTCGTCGGGCTTACTTTGCACCACAAGAACCAGTTTTATGGGCCGGGGAGATAGCTCAGTGGCACAGCGCTGCCGGAGTTCGATTCCGGTACCAAATTTCTGGGTCCAGACACTTGTTTGCAGAATGTGTGGCCCTTACTGGGACTTAGCTGTGCCCCCTGGTCCTGACGGTGGATAGTATCTCCTTGGCTCTCCATCCCCATCCCCCTATCCCCCCA